TGAATAAATCACTACAGGTTGGGTAAGGCAGCAGGAAAGGAGGCCTGCACATTTGCTGGGTGCCATTCCATTACCAGCAGCCCCTGCTTACAGTGCCTGTCGGGTACAGGCTGCATGGAACAGCAGTTCCCATACACCCCTGTGATTGTCTGCCAGACAGAAGATTACCTTACAGAGGGGGAAAGGAAATAACGTTTTATAGATTTTCATTCTTTTCTACGGTTGCTCCATCTTCACTACAGGCTTTTCTAAACTTCCTCCTTCATCACGAGCGCAGCTGAGTAATGCTCACCGTACAGCAGCCTCGCCTGTTAGCAACGTGCGTGCCAGCACGCTGCATAGCTGGTGAAGGCTCAATTCTAACATACAGGCTTCAACCTCGCTGTTTTATCCCACAGACTACGGTAGGACAGCGCGATGACCAAGCACTTCCTTGTGATTCTGTGATTCTCTGCATTGCCTGAGGGAGGGACGGCTTCTGGTGAAGGCACTGGATACGCAACATCACCAGAGGCGTCAGGTGCCCACCTGTTGGTACGAAAGTCCTCCGGGAGTTCGGACTGCACACCTCTCCCATCTCGTGCAAAGGCACGCAGCTGAACCCTCCACGACTGCAGAAGGAGACAGGGAAAGCCGCCTCGAAGTGGGAATGGCTGAGGGAAGGAGGGCTCCCATCACGCTGAATAGGCTTTAGCACATTCGCAACCACCGCTGCGCGTTTACCAGCCGGCAACAGCGATCCCCGTGAGAGCGGGAGGGCAGCGGAACGCGGCTCCCTCTCCCAGCCGCAGAGCTGCGCCCGCAGGAAACACTCCCCACGCCCCTCTCGGCCCTCGGGCCGCTCCCCGCCGGCGCCCGGCTCGGGGACGCCCGCTCGGCCTCAGCGGGGCGCAGCGCGCCTCCCTCCGCTCCGCCCCCGGCTCCCCCCATCCGGGTTCCTGTCATCCGCCGCCGCGAGCCTCCCGCTCCGCGTTTCGGGGAGGCGGCGAAGATGGCGGCGGGGGGGAGAGCCGGTTCCTTCGGTTCCTCCTCGGCATCCGGCGCCGCGAACAACGCCGGCGCGGAGCTGCGGGCGGGCGGCGAGGAGGACGACGGGCAGAACCTCTGGTAATCGCCCGCCCCGCCCCGCCGCTGGGCTGCGGGCCGATACGGCCGGCCGACCGAGCGGTGGCTGCCGGCCCCGAGGGTGGGGAGGCGGGGGCCGCGCTGCGGGCGGGAAGGAAGGGAAGCGAGGAGAAGAGCAGGGGGGCGCTGGGCGGCGGCCCCGCAGCCCCGGCTCAGCCGCGCCTCTCTCCGCCGCAGGTCCTGCATCCTCAGCGAGGTGTCCACGCGCTCCCGCTCCAAGCTGCCCTCGGGGAAGAGCGTCCTGCTGCTGGGTGAGCACCGCGGCCCTCCCGGGCGCACCGCCGCGAGGAACTGCACGCCTGCGGGCGGGTGGATCTGCGGGCTCGCTGCTGCTTCCCGCTCGGCCAGCCCTCCTCTCTGCGAGAGCTGCGTGTCGGCGTGTGGGAGCGTGGCCGAAGCCCGGGGGAGTCGCGTGTGGAGCGCTGTGGCTCTTTGTAGCCACGTGGTCATCCCTTTCTTGAGGGCTTTTCTCCCGTGTGTTTTCTCTCATCCTAGAGCTGTCTGTGGCTGCGACTCTTCCTGCTCCGAGTGGTGCCTTAGAACTTCCCAGCGAGGAGAATGCTGTATGGGGATTATGGGGCTGCCTGCTGAACCTGTTACAGAACTTCTTGCCCTCTGATTTGTTGCTTGTTGCGTGATGTGACTGAGTAGGCTTTTGAGATTGGAGGTTCTGCTGATGTTAAAGACAGATTGTGTAGTAATTGAGAGCATTTTATGTGATCCTTTGAAATTAGATTGGATAGCTGTTCTTGGTG